TGTTTACTAGTTCCACATGGTTCGACAGAACAGCTGTAAGCACACTTTCTGCGCGTTTAAGGGTAGCCTGGATGTCCTGGATAGGGCGGGCGTCCTCCTTTTGATCGGCTGTTGTGGTATCAGAGCTAATCTGTTCCACTTATCCTTGATACGACTACTACTACTCACTTTACCATCCTGAAGGATGTCGCTGACAGTATTCCCCGAAGCGAATTTGCGTCCGGTAGTATACTCGATACATTTGGCGATAACTTAATCCTACATAGACTCTGAGCCACAACTCTAAGGTAAAACAGAACATCCATATAGTGTCCTTCAATCACCACAAAGTAGTTTGCACCACTTGCGTATGACGTTAGACGCAGTCTATGTCTGCTACGTATTCAGTAGTAAATGATGATAGTTTTATTACCGAAATCAACAATGGCTGGTCCCTTTAGGTTAAGCCTATGGCTTGAGCGCTCAGTGAAAGATGGTACAGACAATTTTCAGAGTGTGATTACATTAAATTGAAAATGCTGCTACAGTAAATATTAATTGTGTGGTAGATATGATATCCACATTTCTAACAACTTGGACAGACTTGGAAGTGAATTTGCGTCGGAAATCTCGGCTGGAGAACTGATAACAAAGAGCAGCTTGCACGGACCAGCGTTTTGAACCTACTGTACAGAACAGCTCATGTTTTGCATCCAACAGTAGGATCACAAGCGTTCCGAGTGCAGACAAACGGACATAATACGCTTGTTGTTAAGTCCGTTAGGTCCAGTTGTCTGGAGTAAAATGGGACAGTTGGAGTAGCGGCAACAGGAGCACTCCAAGAAGTAGGGTTAGATGTGTGGAATTGAATCCGGAAGTGTGCTTCTACTGAGCGGGCGGACATGTAGTGCTTGGGTAGCATTTACAATAGGCCAGCTGACGGGTTAACTCGGGCACCGCAGTCGATCCGGTGTGTCTTGTTGTGTGGTGTGGCTGTCTGTGGGCTGAGAGTCAGATGCAATGGCTCTTTCTTACTGTGGCCTAATGGCGCTCCCTGTCGGAAGCATACCTAGTGAGGCGTGCTGTTGGTACGCGTGTTGAGTCAAATAAATTTGAAAGGGACTTTTCTGTCTTTCTTGTCGATGTGTCGGTCCAGCAACTTCGGCATCACTGCGTCCTTTTTATGAGTACTCATCAGACGTGCTCATAACGTGTTCGGTTTCTCAGCGTCGGATTCGACTCCAACTTGCAATGATTCCGCACATTATATCTGAGTCCCGAACATGAGCTTCCTGAAGCAGTTTTTTTACCATACCTTCAGTATCCACTGATGGGTAGTGACTACCCATCTGAACTATATTCCTATTGAGTGTCTGCTTATTTGCTTTAAGGTAATTTGATATAAACTATCATGGTCTATGAAGCCCAGTGGCTATAACAACGCCATCTTTATTCCCTATCTGTCGTCTAGTCAGTTAAGTTGAATCCTGCTATTATTGTCTACGCCTTATGAGATGTTTTCGATGGACTCCATAGTTCACAGTCGCCTTCGAATTAGTCACCGACAAGGCCGCTAGCAAACGTCTGTTGCCAACTGGGTTCAAGCTGGTGGCAGTGAGCACTGCTTCCAACAACGTTTACAGCAGTGCACTTTGCTGTTGGGGAACACTGCCATCCACTGCGTTAACTGCATCTCCTAGCTTCCTTTCCAGTCATGTTTACGGCGCCTAAACCGCCCTTGTGAACCCATACCGTTCTAGTTTCGACTTGCACCCCTTCTAGGTCGGACATTGCAGGGATCAACCAGTTTCCTCCTGACGGACAATAAAATCGGACGGCTGCTGATTCCTTCGTTGATATTTCTTGCCAGTCACCGATCACGTTTCTGGAAAGCGTACACTGTCACTGTCGTCAATGTTGCGAACATTTGCCCTTCTTTCATTTCCTAACATTACTCTGGTTGGCATAAATGATGAGTTCTGCAGTCTCTGTTTAGGCCATTCCCGTCGATTTCCTTGTCTTCACTCGGTTATCTTTTACACCCCCGTTTGGTCGCACGGACGCTTTCGCGCTGGCCCCCGATTAAGGGCCCGCTTTGCCTACCTTAATCAAATAAGTAGGCATTTTATATGAATATAGGATCGGAACTGTCCAACCGAAGTCTTAAAAACATCGGTCCAATACATTTCTAGTTCGGTGCAGAGGCAATTTCACGAAAGGAACTGGATTCAACTCTTAGGTCGTCTGGCTTTAAAAATCGGGGCTGACAGCTCGTCGATCTTGAGGCCTCTTCTATGTTGTGTCCATAAAGGAAGAATCTTCCCCTTCTTTATTCTGACCTTGGAGATTTTCGTGACTGCGCGCACTCGTTGCGTGGTGAAGGGCTTCCTATCGGTTCGGTAGTTCATGCCACAAAAGGTCAAATGAATACAGCGTAGTAAGCAGCTGTGTAATTTCTCACCGAAATCTAGTAAAACTGGTTGCTTCCGAACAGCAAGCTGTAAATCACTCGAAACAGTCCTGACGTGGTATGAAAACGGGTACTAGAGCTCTCGTAGCCGTGATGCAAGTAACATGCGTCAGTCTTTTCCATTTGTGTTCGGAACCTCAGGACCTGTGATTGCTCCAGACTCGCGTTCGTTCTTCGGGTGAGATTCTGCTCACGTTCAGCTTGATCTAGTAGCTTCGGTGCTACACTACCCAAAGACTGTTTTCGTGATTGGAGTTGCAGTTTCATCCTCAAGAAGACCAGGCGGTAGAGGCTGTACTATTACTTGAAATGTATCATAATCCCGCGACATTTTAGTCTCTTCAGGACGTCGGATTTCCGAAACTATTGTTTATCCTTCTTATTTGGTAGCAAATTACGTCTTCCTAAAGCGTTATGCTTCAAGAAAGGAATCTGCCTGTTTTAAGAAAGTTGTGAATTATGAGATTCTGCGCAATATTCAGTTCTGCCGCTAGTACCGCGGAACCAGTCTCTCTTTTGATACTTAAATTTTTAGCAACCAAACACTCCTAAACGAGTACGTTACTCAGGCCGAACAAGAAACAGTTGGTTTGACACAAGTGGAAAATGAACTGACTGAGGCCACGTACTTGCTGGTGCGTTGCAAAGCCGGCATCCAACAGATTGTGCAGAAGTTGAAGCCCATTCGTGTGGATGCCCTCGAGACGCCGGATGAGGGGGAAGGCGGCACACCACCTACTGAAACAGAACCGGCCACCGAGGATCCCGCTTCGGCTCTCCTAAAACTCTGTTCAGCCAAGGTGCAAAAACTCATTTCAGAACTGAGCGATGTTGACGTCGAGGAGCAACTCAAGCAACTCACTAATGTGGAGGTACGTGACTATGCCTGTATGCAGATTAGTCAATTACAAGTAGGCCAGATAGGTCTACATAAAGCCTTTTGGCTAAATTGATTTGTAGGGTCCCTCTAGATATCTGTTCTCCCCGCCCAACTGCGTAAAGTATTTTGTGGTCAAACATTTAATCCTTGGTTAGTGAGCGTAAATTAGTATGTAATTTTGGCGGAAATGATCAAAAAATATTAAAGTAAATAAGATTATGATTGTTTTAACATGCTAAATAGAATGAAATTTAATCAACATAAACTTTTAATGCGTAGAATACGAATGCTACTCGAGGGAAATTTGACCTTATGCAGGCGGAACTGAACGAAAATGGAAATTCGTCCTCCTACTGGAGGAATTTAGAGAAAAAATGTAAAGTCAGGCTACCGAACCTTTGAAAGTAGTTTTTTTATTATAAGTCGACGGGATTTTTGCGGCCTCTATAATCAATTTTGCCAGCCTTTTTTGTCTGCTGATAATCTGAGCAAGGAATGTCAAATAACGAAAACACACCCCTTAACTCCCACTGCGGAAACCGTATTACCTTATTTTACACATAAACGTATGCCTGTGCGCATTCCTCATTTTCATCAGCCTCGGTTAACTGGTAAAATTGCACCAAACTCTTATATTTGCGTGTTGCGCCACTTGTCAGTGGCTTTCGAGAGAAGGAAAGTCTCTGGCACAACTTGTGCTTCAAAATAATCGGAAACGCATT